AGCCTATGCTTGGCTTTTACACGGCTGCTGGAGATTTGAACTCGGATACTCGGGCTTGCACAGCAAGCATGCTCACCCACTGAGCTTGAGCCATGCCTCCAACCCTCAAAACCATTTCTTGATGGTTGAATCCTATAGTTTTGCAGTTATTTATCGGTATCTAAATATATTAAAAAGTTGCCTCACAGGACTGTCTGAGGCATGTGGGATTTTTGACCCACCTTCTTGGTGCTGGAAATGAATTGATGCAATTTAAATACTTTGTCTAAAAGTTATTTGGCCTGGAAAATACCAATCTAATTCCCCCACAAGTAAGAAAATTATAAGGAGAGAGATCTAATCAGTGAGCAGAATATAGCCTTAGAAAATGTGCATCAGCATACCTTAACGAAAGTAGAATAAATCTTGAAACTTTAATATCCCCTTTTCTTGGACCTAAATAGGCCCCCTTGGAAAACTATTTTATTGTTTCTCATTAAATTAGAATTGTGCTGAGGTGCCACTATCTACTGTTTTCTATTATTATTAATGTAGAAAAAAAAGCCATTGTATATTCAGCATTTCCCCGGTTAACGCCAATAGAGAAAAGCTTCCCCGCGTCTGCGCTTAACTCTGGCTCATTTTTAAACAAAGTTCCCCCTTTTTTGTTTACATCTGCATTTAAAGCCAGCAATTCTTCCTGGTGACAATTAAGGAAATGTAATGTATGGGTGTAGTACCCGCTCTGTTAAATTACCAGCTCATGTCGGGGAAGCCGGGGAAGAGTTACAGAGGGAAGAAGAGCCTCATTAACCCCGGGAGGATGTGGTCATCTCTGGGAAACAGGGTTTGGAAGCATCGTTTTTCAAAACTTGGGTAGCTTTCTAGTGCATTAAAGAGGAGACACTCGGGCTTCCTCGTCCCCGGTGAGACGGGAGACCCAGGGAGGCCTGGAGCCCGGGACCCTTCAGGTGTCTGCAAGGTCTTTGTTGTTCTTGCATTGCAGTGGTTTCTCACCCTCATTTCTTCAGGAAACAGATGCTGAGTGACAGTGGGAGGGTACCAGTGGCCCAGAGGTACAGCTGTCCCACAGATGCATGAAGGTGTGGGCACCAGGTGCCTGAGGACGACAGTTGCTGGGAGTGGGGGGGGTCATCTCTGTCTGGTTCCCGGGTGCAGTGTGGCTTTTCCTGGAGAGACAGGAACAAGTATCTACTCATTCCAGACAGGACACCGACAGCACACCAAGGAGGTGACTCTGCTTCTGTCTTGCTTCACGAGCCAGTGAGTTACCAGGAGTGTGGAGGATGCCAAGACAGACTTGTTACCCAGAGGCCCCGCCACAGCAGGGGTGATGAATAATGAAGGCTGCCTCTCTGGGGCGTTCGGTCTACACACGAGTACCCTCTCCCAGAGATTGATTATTCTCTGTCTGTACAACCTTAGGGGAAAGCCCTGTGAATGTCCTAAGTTTGTGAGCTTTCTGATCTTAGGAGAGTCCTCCTCCCCCCTCCCCCTCTGGAGAGAGTCTTCTACTATTCACACTTCATGAATCACCATTCCCACTCCCTGAGTGTGACTCACCATTCCCACTCCCTGAGTGTGACTCACCATTCCCACTCCCTGAGTGTGACTCACTGGTCACACTCCCTGAGTGTGAATCACCATTCCAACTCCCTGAGTGTGACTCACCATTCCAACTCCCTGAGTGTGAATCACCATTCACACCCTCTGAGGTTCCTTGGTCCTTTGCAGAAAGCTTTCGGTTTCCGCCTACAGAGCTCCATGGGTTGCAAGTATGGCCTGTGGCCTGGCTGGGTCTTGTACATTCATCTGCTAAATTCCTCAAAGTTTTAAGAGATGGGGGTCACTGAGAGGTGGTCAAGCCACAAGAGCAAATCGCCCATAGGAAGATGAGGATCCCTTCAAAAGGGATCACTGGAGTAGGCTGGCTTCTTGTACCCCTTCCAGATACAGAGTCCGTGTTTTAAAGAGGAAGCCGTTTTCAGGGCACCATCTCAAGAGCAACCCCGAGGCCCTCCGGAGAGCATGCTGACACCTTCAGCTTGGACACTGCAGCCTCTGTGAACCTAGCCCTACCTATGGCTGGTGAGGTTATGGGCCTTAAAGCAGAGACCACTGCTGTCACTCCCCCAACCATTATGATTTCTAACTGAGCTAAGGTCAGTGTAGCTCTCAACTCTCAGCAAAGGAACTTCTCTCTGCCGCAGACAGTGACCATTTCAGAGTCACAGCAGGTCAGAACATGGAGAGTGAGTGATATGGGGTTCCCAGTCGACAGTTGATACGTGTACAACACACCGTCTACATTTAAGACTCAGGAGACACTGGGGGAGAGGGAACAAAGATTGTAAAAGCCAGATGACCAGGACTTCACTATGAGATAATGTCTTCTACCTATGCCAGTGAAGCTCCTCAACAGTATGGTTGTCTAGACAAGATCTGGAAAGTAGCAACACCACTCAACATGCCAACCTGGATAGGGGAAATCTCACAAGGCCACCCTCCTAGATGAAGAGCTGCAGGTAATCACTGGCTGCTGGTATCTATGAGCAACACTAAATGGGCATACATTTGTAACAATTATCATCAAGAATGAGAGGCCACAAATCTGAGAGGGAGCAGGCTTGGGCACACGAAGATTTGGAGAGGAGACAAGGGGAAGAGTACAAATGATATGAAATTCTCCAAATATAAATCAATTATGAAAATGACTATTAAAATTGACTTAATTTTTAAGAAATATGTGAACTATGATAGCATAGTTTTTCTTAATTATTTTGTGCTATAACCCTGTTCAAATAAAACTATAAATATGTAGCATATGCAACAATATACAAACTTTTGTATTTTTCTTTAAATTTTGAAATTATTTTTCTGATAGCATACAAAGTATTGGGTTTCATCATGTCATTTTGATACATATCTGTCATTATATTTGTCTTTTTAATCTACCCTCCCCATCACATAGGCCACGTTTGATTGTATTAAGTGTCAATATTATTTTTAATGCCCACTCAATGCATGGGGACTTAAAGCCACCTCTGGGCATGCTGTGGGGATTCCCTGGTTGTCACTGGGTGTTGGTGGTGGAGCTGTGCTCTCTAGCTGAGCTCAGTGTTGCATAGCCTCTCTGGTTTGCAGAGTCAGGTAGACCCTGCCTTGAGGCCTAGGGAGGAGTGAGTCATCAGGATTTTACCCCTGCGAGCACTATGCATTCCACTTCATTTAATACATACAGCATGTAAATACGTTTCAGAGGCATAAAAGCTTCAAAACTAAACGAAAAGGAAAATTTAATAACCAGCAGATTTTTAGATTGTGCACTAAATAATCTGTTTTTCATTCAAAGAAAAGGGAGGAGAAAGACTGAGTTTATAGACATACATAACAAATTAAAATCTAGTATCTTGGGGGTGTAAATCACCTTCCATGAGTCAAACAATGTGGCTCCCATCAGATCTCCTCCAGCCAGACATCTTGCTTGGGAGTTTGAGCCTAATTCAGCAACAGCAAAGGCAGGTGGATCCCTGGATAAAGGGCTAAAACCAACGCCTGCCATGGTCACACACACCCCACCTTCTGCCCACTGTGCTATGTGAATGCCTGCAAAATGTGTTCTGCAATGATCTTGCCAGGGCTTAGAGGTTGAGGAAGAGAAGCACAGTGGTGTATGCTTGGGATCCCAGATACTCAGGTGGCTGAGGCAGGAGGATCATGAGTTCAAGTTCAGCCTGGGTTACAGAGTAAGTTTGAGGCTAGCCTGTGCAACGTGGTGAGGCCCTGACTCAGAACAAAGAGTAAAAAGATGTGCTGGTACGAAGCTTAGGGATAGTACTTGCTTAGCAAGCATGGAGGTTCAAAAAAGGAAAAATTAAGGCAAAATAAGACATTAATCAAACCGTGGTGACTTGTTTGGAGAGGAAGGTGTCAGAGACTAGGGTGATTTTGACAACAGGGGACCCACATCTGGAGATACTTCTGGTCACCTCACCTGTGGAGGAGCTCCTGGTGAGAAGTGAAGGCAGATGCTGTTAAATATCAGGTAGCGTGCAGGGCAGGCGTACAACAAAGAGTTTTCTAGCCCCCAAATTTCACAAGGGTGGGAAGTTCTACATGTGGGGTTCAGCTCTAATTCTGGGTAGCTATGACATCATTCTAGTTAGCTTGTCTGTTGCTGGGGTGAACACCATGACCAAAAGCAACTTGGGGAGGAAAGGGTTTAAGTCAGCTCACAGTTGTACATCACAATCCATCATCACAGGTAGTCAGGACAGGAACCTGCAGGCAGGAACTCAGGCAGAAGCCATGGAGGAGTGTTTACTGTTTTCCCCTCAGTTCATGTTTGTCTCCCTCCCTCCCTCCCTCCCTCCCTCCCTCCCTCCCTCCCTCCCTCCCTCCCTCCCTCCCTCCCTCCTTTTTGTTTTTTCGAGACAGGGTTTCCCTGTCCAGCCTTGGCTGTCCTGAACTTGCTCTTGTAGATTAAGCTGGTCTCAGACTCACAGAGATCCTCCTGCCTCTGCCTCCCTAGTGCTGGGATTACAGGTGTGCACCACCACCGCCCGGCTCCCTTTATTTTTAAAAAATACCTTTCTTATACAGCCCAACCTACCTATTTACGATGGCCCCACCCACAGTGGGCTGAGCCCTTCTACACCGACGAGCAATCAAGAGAAACGCCTCACAGACATGCCTACGGGCCAGTCTGATGGAGACGTTTCCTCAACTGAGGGTCCTTCTTCCCTAGTGTGTCAAATTGACAGCCAGGTTCAGCCACCACACCCTTCTCCCCCAATCTGCATTTTGTCAAAGAAAGGGAGAGAGGACAGGTGTCCTTTCCAGGGATGGGGCAGCTGATGTGAATGCCTCCATTGTCTTCATCTCTTGGATTTGACGAGGAGCCAAGAAGTGACACAATTCGTTTTGAGTTGGTACGAGGCAACCAAAGGACCACTGAGTCAGAACAAAACATTCTACATCAGGCGGCGACAGAAGGGTCCATTCTACTCTCCTCAAATGGATAAGAAATCCTATCCAGCCTGTCCTGCCTGGGAAATGGCCACGGAAGAGAGATAAGCAAAAACCACAGGTCCTGTTTGTCCCTGGAAGTGTCTGCTCTGTTGGTTGGAGGGAGGGATGGACCGTTTTTCATGGCCTCCGTCTATGCCACACCCGGCTTGTGGTTAGATGGAAGACTCCAGTCTCCGGAGCTGTCAATCCATCGCTTTTTAATGGCATCAGATTTGCTTTTAAAAATTCATGCTGTGGGCTTTGAGGAAATAATTGTAGCGACTTTGTTAAAGGTTGTATTCGATATATTCTTTCTAATGGACAGCCTGATGCTTGGGTATTTTATCTTTTGTGATAGTACATTTTGAGGGAGGAAAAAAAAAAAGAATGCAAGCCAGAGTGATTTGCTATCTACTTTTTTTGTTTTTTAAAACTTCACTCACTGGCTGCTGTCTCTGTCCAATTGTTCCTGAGACTTTTACGGGAGGGAAAATTTTTGCCTTTCCTATGCTTGACTGAAAAAATGTGTTAAGTGATGTTTTAAATCAGCCATTCCTCAAATCAAAGAACAATCAACGTTAGAGTATATCATGGATTATTATACATGCAATTTGCGTAAAAGTTTGAAAGAGTTGGTGCAGCGGCACCAGAGTGCCGCCTGGAACCATCACATGCGGTTGATGGCTGCAATGAACATTGGTGCTCAGAACTTCTGTTAGCTAATTATGCTTAACAAAAAACAAAGCATAGCCACCCAAAGGAGCGGACCCCCAATCCAATCACCATCATTGGATAAGACGGACACTTAACACAAAACTGCTAGTATAGCAATTCGAACAAAAACTCTTGTGTTTTTGAGAGTAAAGTCCTAAGTTTTAGTATTTTGATGTTTTCCGGGCTGTTCTCTGAGAACACAAATGACAGTGTGGGCTGTGCAGAGACTCAGGGCACAAGGGTTGCTCAGTGCTTAGATGCCCAGGATCCAAGCCAGCCACACTCAGCAGCCTCCACCCACAGCTGCCCCAGGGAGTCTGCTTCATTTACTGGACTTCTGCACAAAGTTTGTGTGAGAAAGGGAATTGATCGCCAGAGGGGTCACTGTTGAGCATTCTCTAGGACAGAGGCTCTCCATCTTCCTAATGTCAGGACCCTTTGATACAGTTCCTCACCTGGTGGTGACCCCCACCGTAACATTGTTTCCTTGCTACTTCATAACAGTAATTTTGCTAATACTGTGAATCATAATGCAAATATCTGATATTCAGTATATCTGTTATGGGGCCCCTGTTCATTTCCCAAGGGGTCATGACCCACAGGCTGAGAACTGTTGCTCTAGGGGAAAAGGTTTAAAAGACCTTTATCATCATCATCATCACCACCAACACCATCATCATCATCATCACCATTTTATGCATGTTGTCCCAACACCTGTGTGGATGTCAGAGGACAAGTTTGTGGCGTTGGTTCTCTCCTCCTCCTTACTCTGGGCTCTGGGGATTGACTTCAAGTCACCTGGTTTGAGTGGCCAGCATCTTTACTCCCTGATCAAAACTGCCCACCCTAAGATACATATTTTATTTTATGTATTAGATAATAATTTATATACTTTTATTGTGTATAATATAGTAAATATTGTTAAGATAATACAAGAGATTTACAATCAAGAGAAATTATTTTACTCACCTAGAGGAAAGGTAAAAATCATAATGCTTTATTACTACTCATGTCTGATAGTCTGTGGAGCCTGCCTGCCCTCCCTGCCTCCCTGCCTCCCTGCCTCCGTCTCCCTCCCTCCCTCTCTCCCTTCTTCTCTCTCTCCCTCCTTCCTCCCTTTCCCCTCTCTCTCTTTTCTGACACATATTTATCACAAACAAGACTCTTACATTTTTGGGGGGGTATTTTCTTTCTTTTTTTCTTTTTTTTTTATGAGACAGGGTTTCTCTGTATTGTTTTGGAGGCTATCGGTCCAGCCCGGCCTCGAACTCAAAGAGATCCATCTGCCTCTGCCTCCCGAGTGCTGGGTTTAAAGGCGTGCGCCACCACCGCCCGGCCAGGTATTTTCTATTCTTGGAAAATCCTGAATATAAATTCTTCTCCTCTCAGTGCTGAGACCCCACCTGGTTTGGGCTTGTACAGACTCTGTGTGTGCTGGCCCAGTTTCTCTGAGTTTATATCACCTGAACCCTAATGTGTCTAGAAGGCCTTTTTTCCTTGGCGTCTCCCATCCCTTCTGGCTCTTATGATCTTTCTCCCCTCTCTTCCACAAAGTTCTCTGAACACTGAAGGGAGAGATTTGATGGAGACATCACATTTAAAATTGGGTGTTGCAAGGTCTCTCGCTCTCAGCACTCTGACCCGCTGTGGACCTATGTGTTTGTTTCTATCTGCTGCAAGAGGAGGCGTCTCCAATGATGACTGAGCGAGACGCTGATCCGTGAGTATAGCAGATAGTCATTAGGAGTCATTATAGTGCTACGTTTCTACAGCAGAACAACAGTCTGGTTTTCCCCTAGGTCCGTGCCATATCTAGTTACAGGATTTTGGCCACCCAAGCAGTATCAGGCGTGGGTGGATTCCATCTCACGGCACGGGCCTTAAATCCAACCAGATGGTGGTTGGTGACTCCCACACGTTTTGGGTCACGATTGCACCAGTGTGTCATACAGGCAGGCCACCATTGTAGACGGAAGGCTTTTACAGTTGGTTGGTATTTACCTTCTTCCTCTGGTAGCAGCAGAGTACATTTCAGTATCATGAATACTATTTGGTATGGGTGAGGGCTCTATGCAGGCACCAGCCTGAACGGTTCACGTTCGATGAGACACGTCGGTATTGTTTTCAGCAACAGGGCCTTACCATTAGTTAAACAAGACCGTTTCAGACAATGCAGATGCCACGCAGGATATAAGGCAGAACTGTCTGACGGTAATGCCCCGGGAGAAGAGGGTGGGGACTGATGTGGAAGATTGAACAAGGAAGCCGTGTAGGCACCAGGCATGTCCAGTGCTGTCCTTCTGCTGTCCACTCTAAGGCATAATAATGTCAGGAGGCAAAGAGTCTTTTATCTGGTCAGTGACATTATCTATGCTTGCACTTTCTGAAAAGACAGACAAGCTCCAGTGGTCGCCAGCCTGTAGTCTGAGAAGCATTTCTGACAGAGCAAGTGAAGACATTGCATTTCAGGGAGGGGACCCTTTCCTTCATGTTGGGGTGGGCATGTCCTGACAACCTGTAACTCAGTAACAGGACAACTGACCCACTGTCATAGATTCAGCTCGGGGAAAATGAATCTAATTTGTTGTGCATCTTTCGACAGTTTACCCAAAAGTCTGAAACACAAGGAGGAACCAACTTGTCCAGATGGGGGGAACATAGTCACCCAGAGAGACTGGCACTTCAAAGGCATGACCAGGAAAAGCTGCCATGAGGAGCATGTATGTGACTCCAGTTTGGCATACCTATGGGCTCTTGGGGCGCTGGCCTCATTATTCTCTCAACTCTCCCACTCTTCATTAATGTCCCAGGGCATCCATTTTAAAATAAAGCTGGATATACTTAAAGTAGACTGATGGAGGATGTCCTTCTGTGATGGGGAAGTTGTTCTGTGTATGTCAATAAAGCACTGTTGGCCAATAGGGAAGCAAGATAGGTGGGACTAGGAATCTAGGAGGATTCTGGAAAATGTAGTGAAGAAAGTCATCGCCATGTGATCTTCAGGGAGCAACGGGCGCTCAGGAGTGCATCCTCAAAAAGATAAGTTCCTATAAAATATATATTAGTAATTACGGATTAATAATTAAGGCAGAACTAACTGATTAGAAACCATAGCAAATGGCCAACAGCTTCATAATTAATATAGTGTCATTATTTGGGGGTTGGAGTGGCAATGGGACCCAGGTGGGAATCCCACAACACTTCTGTATATATGTTTCTTCTATTGGTTGATTTACTGATTGGCAGTAGCCAGGCAAGAATTATACGTGGGGCTAGCAGACCAGGAGAAAGCTGGGGAGAGGAAGGCAGAGGGAGGCCGCCAAGAGACGCCATGCTGCCGAAGGAGTAACACGCTGGGTTATGAGTAAGCCACAGCCTTGTGGCAATACATAGATTAATAGAAATGGGTTAATAGTTAAGAGAGGTAGCCAGTAAGAGGCCCTAGCCATTGACCAAACAGTTTAATAATTGATATAGCATCCGTGTGTTTATTTGGGGTGAATCGGTTGTGGGACCAGGTGGAACAGAGACCTCCGGTTTCAGTGGGCTACATGAATGTTTTTGTATACTTACCTTGATATACATACACATTCTTAAGGGATGGCAACAGTCAAGCAAACTGACCCCCACCATCCCATAAGCTCCTTCTCCATTTCCTTCCTTTGTGGTAATGCACCGTCTTTGCAAATTACTAGCATACAGTATAGTTGACCATGCCTGCAATGCTTCTTAGATTTTGTTCACGTTATATAGCTGTAGCTTTGAACATGTGTGTATCATCATCATACTCAATAACCAACTTTTCTTTTTAAGTGAAAAGGCAGCCTTCAAATTGAAAGTATTTTGAAGAATATATCCAAGTAGGAATCAACATCTAAATGTATAAGGAATTAACACAACTCAGCAGTGATGACAATATCAAAAAAGAATAGCACAGTTGACACCTGCATAAGGACTAAAGTAGCCATTTTCACAAGAAGATATAGAAATGGTCTTGAGGTAGAAAGGTGTCAGGACCAGTCACCATCGTGTATATGCAAATTAAACCATGATGGTAATAGTGTGGTATGGTATAGACATTATGAATGTTCCCAAGGAATGGGGTTATGTATAATCCCAGTGCTTGGAAGGTAGAGGCAGAAAGCTCAGGAATTCAATGCCAGCCTCAACTATATAGTGAGTCTGAGGCCAGTCTGGGCCACATGAGACCTCATCTCAGTAAATCAAACCAAACCAAACCACCACCATGGCTATGTTCTCATTTGGTAGTGTTCTGAATCCTACACAGAATAATTCTGTTTTATAATGAACTGCCATTTCTACATTTTAGACCAGAGTGAGACAAGCCTTCCTTTCTAGGGATGGGCCGTGTATGCTGAGACCATGGGAATCCCTAGTAAGTGTGGGCATACAGCACACATAGACATACAGTACACACAGACATAGACTCTGCTTTAGTCTGGTCCTATGCTAAGTGCGGTCACCTCTGCTGCTGTTGCACTGGGCAATGGCCCAGACTCCCATTCGCCATGCACCACGTTAAAGCATCTCAGTAAGTGGAGGTGGGTGGGAGGGTGCGGTTGGGCATGCTGGGAACTGCAGTTGTCCGCTGGCACCACGACTGTGTAGCTTTCCCCTAATACAGCCAACTCATCTTACTCATCAAGGGGACCTTTGGAAAGCCATTGTTTGGGCTGTTAATGCAGTTCTAGGTTGGGCAGTCACATGTTAATTTTATATCCTCCCCCCAAAGTTATAAGACAGGGAGATTGTCTAGTGGAATACTGGAGGCAGCTACACTCAGTTCTTCATGCCTTAATCTGAGCATGTAAAGATAAAGCCAGCAGAGGCCAGGGTGCAGCCATGTGATAGCCGGTTCCTCTGTGCACAGGAAGCGACTTCGTGAGATTATTATCTCTTTCAACCTTATCCCCCTTCAAGGACAGAGCACAAGCCTTATCCATCCTGAAGGTGGATTTTCCTGTTCTCCAACATCACTCTTCTCCCTGCCTCCCTCCCTCCCTCCCTCCCTCCATCCCTCCATCCCTCCCTCCCTCCCTCCCTTCCTATCTTTTTTCCTTTTCTTTAATATTTACAATTTTATTCTTCTCTCATACATTACGCCCTGACTTCAGTTTCTGTCTTCTCCTCCCCTCCCGGTGCCCCGCCCATCTCTCCCTCTCCATTTCCCTTCAGAAAAGGGCAGGTCTCCCAGGGGTATCAACCAAACTTGGCGTATCACGCTGCAATAAGAGTAGGTACCTCTCCTCATATTAAGGCTGGGTGAGGTGACCCAGTAGGAGGAAAAGAGTCCCAAAAGCAGTGAAAGAGTCAGAGGCAATCCCTGCTCCCACTGCTAGGGTCCTATAAGAAGACCAAGCCACACAACCATAACACACATGCAGAAGGCCTAGGTCAGACCATTGTAGGCTCTCTGATTGTTGGTTCAGTCTCTGTGAGCCCCTGTGAGCCCTGGTTAGTTGATTCTGTGGATTTTCTCATGGTGTCCTTGACTCTTCTTGCTCCTACAATTCTTCCTCCATCTCTTCTGCAGGATTTCCTGAGTTCTGCCTGATGTTTGGTTGTGGGCTTGTATCTGTTTTCATCAGTTGTTTGATGATGCTAGGTTCCTGTCTATGAGTATAACAGAATATCATTAGGAATCATTTCAGTGACACCCCACCCCTGTTAGTGTTTGATTCTATCCTAGATCTCTGAGGGGAGAGAGTACTGGAAGAGACAATTGAATTGGGGGTACATTTTGGGCATGAGAAATGGAAACTCCCAGGAGTCTTTGAGAGTGACCCAAGTCTACTAATAATGGGAGATTTGGAGCCTCTAGCTTCGGCTAGCTCACAGGGAGAGTTCTGTTCTGTTGTAGAATGAGGAGTAGGTGGTGGGGACAGAGAAACTGGAAGGTGATGAAGATGACTCTGGCAGAAGCTGAGAAGGCAGAGGAGGGCGCTGCTCAATGATTCTAGTCAATTCCACTTTCTACAGCCCAGGGGCCCAGATGCCGCTCCAGAAGGCTGGCTTCATCCATGAAAGTCTTTGCAAAAGGCACGAGAACCAAGCTAAGTTATGTCTCCTGTAAATGCCACTCTTCCTATTAAATTTATTGCTGTTTTGTTTTGTTTTGAATAGGTGATGCTAAAAGCTTATTTCTTGTAACTAATGATATGTTTATAGTGACTTCTTTTTCTTAGTTTTTAAAACTTATTTTGAAAAAAAGCACAGATAATGAAATCTTACAATAAGGTGTTATTAAAGGAATTCTTAAAGTGTTCATGTCAAATGTATTTGCAATACAGACAAAACCCCAGTGTGGAGTTATTGACAATTAGTAGCTCCTGGGAGAGGGAGACTCAGTTTTCTTTAATTGCAGCCTTCTGTAGGTTGACCATTCTCCAGGGAAGGCCACACATCTAGGAATATATGGACAGCACAAAATGAAGTTGATGGATTACAAAAAACAAAAAAGAAACATAAACTGGGCGTGTAGGAATGGGTAAATCACTATTCCCATTTTAGTTTCGTCAGTTCTTTCCTTATACAGACCTCAGTTTATGGCTTGCTAATTGAAAACTAATGAAAATTAGGACGTAAGTCCTGTTCTCTCCTTTTTAAAATACTATTTCTTTTAATTTTGGGGATTATAATATAATTGACATCATTTCTCCTTTCCCATTCCTCCCTCCACACCCGTCCATATACTTTCCTTGCTATCCTTCAAATTCATAACACACACATATAGTCTTAGGGTTTCTATTGCTGTGAGGAGATGGCATGACCATAGCAACTCTTATAAAGGAAATCATTTAATTTATTAAGTATTTAATAAATACACTTTCAGAGGTTTAGTCCATTATCGTCACGGTGAGAAGTGTGGCAGGATGCAGGGAGACTTGGTGATGGAGAAGGAGCTAAGAGTTTTACACCTTGATTCACAGTATCAGAAGGAGACTGTGTACCACACTAGGCATAGCTTGAGTGTAGGAGACCTCAAAGCCCGCCCCCACAGTGACACACTTCCTCCAACAAGGCTACACCTCCTAAGAGTGCTATTCTCTATGGGTCAAGCATTTGAACATATGAGTCTATGGGGATCATACTTATTGAAACTAACACATAGACACAGTGTGTGCATGTTTATGTATATAATATTATCTATCTTTCATCTATCTATCTATCTATCTATCTATATCTATCTATGTCTGTATCTACATCTATATCTATATTCCTAAACACAGAAGTACAACCTTCCCAATCTCTATAATGTTACTTGTATGTATATTTTCAGGGCTGACCATTTGGTGTTGAATAACCAATTGGTGTATTTGTTCCTGAGGAAAACTATTTCCCCCTTGGTTGCCTGTAGTTCTTGGTGTAGGGTTAAGAACTCCTGAACTTTCTTCCATCCATGTTAATGTGTCTGCTGTTATTATACCCATAGATAAGTGTAGTCCTCTCTCCCTGTCAAGTAATCATCTCTTTGCAACAGACAGAGACCAGTACAGAAACCCACAACCATTTGAAATAGAGTTATAGAGTCCAGTCCCAGTGGAAATATCTGTGTCACCACCCCCATGCCCAAGGCTCAGGGGGCACTGTGGAAGAGAGGGCTGAGAGGTCATAAGAGTCAGAGAATCAGGGAGTTTGCCATGAGATCATGTCTTCCAGGAATGTCAGAAGCTGCACCCATAAAATCTCACCAACATGACTGCCTAATCATGAGTGGAACAAGGAATCTTTGTTCTTACGTGGGATGGAGAATACCTCAAAATCCATCCATTTATTCTTTGAAATAAGCATATTTTTATCCACATTACAAAATATTGACTATTTTAGA